GCCACATGGTTCTGACTTTAGAGTTAAGGAAGAAAAAAGTGGTTATGAAATTTGAGCATGCAATTAAGGAAAGTCTCTGAGGCCAGGCAAGTGTCCAGGGGTGTCCATGAAGGGGCCTAGAGAGGCCATTGTGTGAAGCTATGAAGGTGAAGCCTGACTGCATTGCCTTGGAAACCCCAAGATGCCAGAATCCTGGGATACCTGCTGAAGAAAGCTGCTAACAAGGAGTGGAACCAGCCCAAGATAAAGAAGTATGCTGCAGACAACAAAGCTGAAAGGAGCTGGCGATCTGAAGATCATTTTTACATCAGACATGGAGAACCATTGAGTGTTAAGAACTCCGTGGGATAGTCTGTGGGAGCTAGGAAGATAATAATATTGCTAGCAGTGCAGAAGATGGAGGCCTGGCTTGTGAAGTTTCAGAGGGACGTTTAAGATTCTATCAGGGCTATTTGTTATTTTGAATTAAGAATCTGTGGTTCTGGTTAACTGCAGCGGAAGACTCAGATAGCCACCAATTGACAAGATACCAACACTGTTAAAGCAAAGTTTTGCTCTGATGGAATGCTTGATGGTGCTCAGCTGGAGCTAAGAAATTAGCAGTGGTTAAGAAGAGAGCAGCATGCACGCCGGTGGTGGCGCACGCCTTTAATCCCAGCACTTGGGAGGCAGAGGCAGGCGGATCTCTGTGAGTTCGAGGCCAGCCTGGTCTAGAAGACCTAGTTCCAGGAAAGGAACCAAAAACTACAGAGAAACCCTGTCTGAAAATCAAAAAAAAAAAAAAAAAAAAAAAGAGAGCAGCATCAGCCAGGCAGTAGTGGCCCATACTTTTAATGCCAGCACTGGGAGGCAGAGGCAGGCAGATCTCTGTGAATTCGAGACCAGCCTGGTCTAGAAGAGCTAGTTCCAGGACAGGCTCCAAATCTACAGAGAAACCCTATCTTGAAAAAGAGAGAGAAAGAGAAGTGGGGGAGAGAAAGAGAGCAGCATTACTGAGGTGAAGTCTTCTGGGATGTCTTTCCTGAGAACACAGAGAAGCTGTGTTCCAGAGATGACCAAGGTTATTTATACCTTGCACTAGCAGTCAGACTTGCTATTTAATGTGTAAGAGTCACCCAGGTGGTATTTCATTTAAAGACATGAAAGGTTCCCGGAGAGCTGCTGAGGCCTGGCACTGTGGGAAGCCAGGAAAGGTGACTGGTGAAGGTGCAGCCTCAATAGCAGTTGAAGGCCCAGAACTGAAGGGGTCATGCAAAAAAGTTAAGGCTTGGCACTATGAAGGGAGTCCTTGAGAGGTTATTGGTGAAAGCACAGTCCAGTCACCACAGAAGACCCCAGTGTTTTGGAGATGCCAGTACCATAAGATGACCACCAAGAACAGCAGCAGTGGTGGTGTGGAGTGTGCCTGAGCTTAGAATACAAGCTGTGTGTACAGCAGAGGGCAGAGCCAGAGAAGTGACCCGAATCTTTTGGAGGAGTTCAGAAGGTCATGAGTGAATCCCAAACAATGAACAGTTAAAATTTTGTTTTGATTTGATTTCATTGTGACTGGGTTCTGATTTTTCCCTCTGAAATAAGAAAGTATTTTTCTAGAACCTACAGCTAAAAGACTTGAATTTTAAAAGTCTTTGGATTTTTAAAGAAATTGGCTGTTTTAAAGGGATGAAATTTTAATGTGTTTGAATTTGTAGAGACTGTGGTACTTCTAAGGGTATTTAAGATGTTAGGGATGAATAATAAAGAAAGGGTTATGGATTAATAGTGATGTGCTTTTGTGTCAAATTTATAAGGGGTCAGTTGTGCTGACCGATTTTGTGTGTCAACTTGATACAAGCTACAGTCATCAGAAAGGAAATATCCTCGGTTGAGAAAATGTCTCCATGAGATCCAGCTCTAAGGTATTTTCTCAACTAGTGATCAATGGGGGAGAGCCCAGCCAAGGGTAGGTGGTGCCATCTCTGGGATGGTGGTCCTGGGTTTTATAAGACAGTAGGCTGAGCAAGCCTTGGGAAGCAAGTCAATAAGCAACACTCCACCATGGCCTCTGCATCAGCTCTTTTCTCCCGGTTCCTGCCCTGTTTGAGTTCCCGTCCTTGACTTCCTTCATTAATGAACAGCCAAGTGGAAGTTTAATCCAAATAGATCCTTTCCTCCCCACCTTGCCTTTTGGCCATGGTGTTTTGTGGCAGCACTAGAAACCCTAAGACAATGAATAAAACAGCTGTGATTGTGGTTGAGCACATGCTCTTGTGGGAGGATGGGGAGTCCTTTGGGAATATACCCAGGAGTGGTATAGCTGGGTCTTGATGTAGATCAATTCCCTGTTGTTTTTTTTTAATATGGCCATATTGTTTTCTTAAATGGATGAACAAGTTTGCATATCCACCAAAAATGGAGGAGTGTTCCCCTTGCTCCACATCCTCTCCAGCATAAACTGTCATCAGTGCTTTTTTTAATCTTAGCCATTCTGACAAGTGTAAGATGGAATCTCAGGGTCATTTTGATTTGCATTTCCCTGATAGTTAATGATGTTGAACATTTAGTTAAGTGTTTCTGTGCCATTGGATATTCTCCCTGTTTAGATCTGTACTCCATTTTTAAATTGCTTTATTTGGCTTTTTGAAGTCTAGTTTCTTGAGTTCTTTATATATTTTGGAGATGAGTCCTCTATCCGATGTTGGGTTGGTGAAGATCTTTCTCAGTCTGTGGAATGTCATTTTGTCCTTTTGCTTCACAGAAGCTTTTCAGTTTGAGGAGTTACCATTTATTAATTCCCAGTCTTAGTGTCTGTGCTACTGGAGTTCTATTCAGGAAGTTGTCTCTTGTGCCAATGCATTTAAGGCTATTCCCTACTTTCTCTTCTATTAGGTTCAGTGTATCTAGTTTTGTGTTGAGATCTTTAACCACTTGGACTTGAGCTTTGTACACGGTGATAGATATGGGCCTGTTTGTACTTTTCTACAAGCTGACATCCTATTAGACCAATACCATTTATTGAAGATGCTATTTTTGTATAATTTTGGCTTCTTTGTCAAAAATCAGGTGTCCCTATGTATGTGGACTTACATCTGGATATTCAATTCAATTCCATTGATCAACCTGTCTGTTTTTATGCCAATACCATGTTGTTTTTATTGCTACTGGAGTTTGAAACCAGGCATGGTGAAGCCTCCAGTTCTTTGATTGTAGAGAACTGTATTTGTTTTTTTTTCCTGTATGAAATTGAGTATTGTTCTTTCAAAGTCTTTAAAGATTTGTAATGAATTTTGATGGGAATTGCATTGTGTTGTGGAATATTAGTTGAAGATATGTTGTGGAACATTTGTTTAATGATGCAAAGATGTGTTGCACTCATTTAACTTTGTGAAACTGTGTTACTTTGCCTGTTGAAAACACCTGATTGGTCTAATAAAGAAGAGAACAGCCAATAGGTAGGCAGGAGAAAAGATAGATGGGGCTGTCAAGCAGAGAAAATAAATAGGAGGAGGAATCTGGGAAGAGAAGTTCATGTAGCAAAGGAGAAGGAGAGAAGGACTTCAAGGGTCAGTCACCCAGCTACACAGTAAGTAAGACGTAAAGACAAGCATATAGAATAGATAAAGATAAAAACCCAAAAATAAAAGACAGATAGGATAACTTAAGTCAGGAAAAACTGGCTAGAAATAAGCCAAGCTAAGGCCGGGCATTCATAAGTAAGAATAAACCTCCATGTGATTATTTGGGAGCTGGGTGGAGAGGCTCCTCCCCAAAGGGTATAAGAATAAAAGAAATAAAAGTGAACAACAACATTGAATCTGTAGATTGCTTTTGGTAAGATTGCCATTTTTACTATATTAATCCTACTGATCCATGAGCATGGGAGATCTTTCCATCTTCTGATATCTTCTCCAATTTCTTTCTTCAAAGACTTGAAGTTCTTATCATTCGGGTCTTTCACTTGCTTGGTTAGGGTTATAGCAAGATATTTTATATTGTATGTTGCTTGATTCCCTGATTCTTTCTCAGTCTCTTTATCATTTGTATATCAAAGGGATACTGGTTTTCTAAAGTTAATTTTGTACCCAGCTATTTTGCTGAAGGTGTCTATCAACTACAAGAGTTCCCTCATAGAAATTTTGGGGTCACATATATATTATCATATTACCTGAAAATATCAATACTTTAACTTCTTCTTTTCCAATTCATATCTTTTATGATCCTTTAGCTATCTTACTGCTCTAGCTAAAATGTCAAGTACTATATTGAATAGATATAGAGAAAGAGGACACTTTTGTCTTGTTCCTGGTTTTCATGGACTTGCTTTATGTTTTTCTCCATTTAATTTGATGTTAGCTGTTAGCTTGCTATAAGTTGCTTTTATTATGTTTGGTATGTCCCTTGTACCCATTATGTCTGCAAGACTTTTGTCTTGAAGTGGTGCTGGATTTTGTCAAAGGTTTTCTCAGAGTCTAAAGAGATGATCATGGTTTTTTTAATCTTTCAGTTTGTTTATATGGGTGCATTACATTAACATATTCTTTCAAAATGAATCATCCCTGAATCTCTGGGATGAAGCCCACTTGAGCATGGTGGATGATGGGTTTTTTTTTTTATGTGTTTTTGGATTTGGTTTACCAGTATTTTATTGACTATTTTTGCATCAATGTTCATGAGGGAAATTGGCCTGTAATTCTCTTTCTTTGTTGTCTTTATTGTGTCTTTGTGTAGTTTGGATATCAGGGTAACTGTAGCCTCATAAAAATAGTTTGACAATGTTCTTTCTGTTTCTATTTGTGTAATAATTTGAAGAGTACTGGTATTAGCTCTTCTTTGAAAGTCTGGTAGAATTCAGAACTAAAACCATCTGTACCCAGGCTTTTGTTGTTGTTGTTGCTGGGAGATTTTTAATGACTGCTTCTATTTCCTTGAGGGTTATAGGTCTATTAAAATTATTTATCTGGTCTTGATTTAACTTTGGTAACTGCTACCTATTGAGAAGTTTGTCCATTTCTTTAGATTTTAAAAATATTAAACGTTTTATGAATTTGTGTGTCATCCTTGCCCAGGGGCTGTGCTAATCTTCCTTGTGGCATTTCAATCTTAGTATATGTGCTGCCAAAGTGACCACAAAACTTAAAAATTTTAACAAAAGCTGAGTGAATAACATTAGAATGACTTTTGTATGTGCTTGGGTGCATGTTTGTCCATGTGTGTGTACATGGGTACAGGTAGTTACATGTGTCTGTACTTGTGTGTATGCATCTATGCATATGTTTGTATGTTCATGCATGTGTATGCCTGTCTGTATGCACACGTGTGTGTGCATGTGCCTGGGGTGCATATATTTGCATATGTGCTTGTGCTAGTGTGTAAACAAGTGTGTGTGTGTGTGTGTGTGTGGTGTCTGTGAGATTTGGAGCATATCCCATGAAAGCAAATTTGACTGAAACTTTTCATAAACAAAGCTCACTTTAAGTCTGTCTTTCCTTTCTCAAACTGTTTTAATGTTCTTTTGAGCAGAAGTTCTATTCTTTTTCTAATTAATTAATTTATTTTTAAATAAAAATTTCCACCTCCTCCCCTCCTCCCATTTCCCTCCCACTCCCCCCACTCCCTCTTCCCCTCCCTCTCCAGTCCTAAGAGCAGTCAGGGTTTCCTGTCCTGTGGGAAATTCAAGGCCCTCCCCCCTCCATCCAGGTCTAGGAAGGTGAGCATCCAAACAGACTAGGCCAGTCCATGCAGTAGACAAAACTCAGTGCCATTGTCCTTGGCTTTTCAGTCAGCCCTCATTGTCAGCCACATTCAGAGAGTCCAGTTTGATCACATGCTCCATCAGTCCCAGTCCAGCTGGCCTTGGTGAGCTCCCATTAGTTCAGTCCCACCGTCTCAGTGGGTGGACGCACCCCTCGCGGTCCTGACTTTCTTGTTCATGTTCTCCATCCTTCTGCTTCTCAATGGGACCTTGGGAGCTCAGTCCAGTGCTCCAGTGTGGGTCTCTGAAGTTCTTTGAGGTGATCACGTAATTCTCACAAGAAGTCCTCTTCTCACATCCTTTAACAGGAAAGTAACTGACGATGAAGGGATGATAGCATTTGGCCACAGCCCTGCCTGCAAACTAAATGGCTAGAATTGGGATCCTAGCAAGGGTTCAGGCCCCAAGTCAGAACCCTCTTCACCTTGCCACAATGGCCTGCTGAGCGTTCATGGCTACCTTCTTCCCTTTCATAGAAACCACAGGAGATCACCGTGTCAACACCACATAAAAGTGACAGGTTCTGCTTATTTGCCCTCTCACCAACATCCTCTACCAAGAACTTCTAACCAGCCTTCGCAGGGAAGGGCACACATCTTTAAGGACTTGCTGCACTGTGGATTCATTCCTCTGGGGAGGCCAGCAGCAGCAGTGCAGCTTGCTACAGACAGAAAACTCTTTGCATTCCTAGCAAAACCCCTCCGATTGTGGGCTGAAAGCAAGAAGCTCTCTGCTGAGGTGCCAAGGAAAACACTTGCATTATGAAGTGTTTCTAACAAATGTTTGAGATTGCAAATGGGAAGGTTTCTAAATATCCGAGGAATCTGCAAGCAGCCAGCCTAGACTGCAGGCTAGTTTCGGAGGGTTTCCATTTTTTTCCCCTGAAAGCCAGCACAACTGTGGCAGCGTTGTCCATTTATCAATTGCCTAGTGACACCACCGTATTTTTCTAGGACTCAATGATCCAACTGGTTTTATAGGTCTTTGATTTTGAAATATATGCAATTTTATTATAATTTTGGCATCCTGTAGCAGAATTTTGAAGTGGAATCAAAGGTTTATCTTTATAAAGTTTATACTCATTCCACAAAGTTCAAGATGTTTGGCAGGGCTTGGAGACTTAGAAGCAGTAATAAAAGGTTACCATGAGGAGTTCAAAGTGGCCTTGTATGGTAATGCTGATTCAAGCCACCACATACTTCAGCATCCTAAATCCAGCTGTGATTGGAGGGTTGGATCAGTACTATGGGGCCACAGAGAATGTAATTGGTTTGACATTTGACAATGGGTAAGAGGTTTCAGAACAGAACAGTGATAATGCCTCAAATTTTGGAGAAAGAGAAAAGGAGAAAATGAAAAAAAGGGGATGGGAAGGAAAGAAACAGACAGACTGACAGACAGACATACAGATACACACACACACACACACACACACACACACACACGGTGGAATGTTGCTTTTATCACACAATTATCAAGCCCCAAACTGTTCTTGGGTAACAACAGCTGCTCCTTTAAACTGTGCTTCTTCTTCGTCGTCGTCTTTTTTTTTTTTCTTTTTTTTTGCCAACCTGGAATGCACACTGTATTCTTGCCAGGTCCAAGCCCACTCTACCATAATCCCTCAGACCTTGGTATGTCAAGCTCTTGAGTTGTTGGCAACCAGTAAAAGGGGTTTTCTTATGATGAGGTGATTGAATGATAGCCCCTAGTCCTGCACCATAATCTATATGGGATGCATTTAAATAGAAGAAAAATCTAAAGTTTAGCTCAACAGTGGGTCTCAAAGACACTTTCGAGAGTAAGGTCATTCCTCAAACATTGTCTGGAGATGGAGACAGGAACTGAGCTGCAAGGTAAATGCTCTGAAGTTATTGATTAAGAAAGAGCCAATTTTTGACCCTTTTAAATGACCGGGCTTTCTGACAGAGGTAACAGAAATGGTGCAGGGGCAAGTTAAAGTAAAAAGACCTGCCACGAGACCACACAGGTACCACAGACAAAACTTCTGGCTAATTCTCCTGAACAAACCTAAAGGTCAAATGAATCACAACTTCTACCGCAGAAGGTTAATACCCCTACGTGATAAGGGCTGTTTATGAAAGTCACAGACGGGTGTGAGAACGCTACTCACTGCCGTGTTCTTTGTGTATTTACCCAAAGATGAAAATATGGGTTTGCTGATCAGCAGCATGCACTTACATAGCAAAGTCACTTACGACTAGCCGTCACATTTGAAATTTTATTTCAGAGGAAACAGATACATTGTGCTTTTCAGATGTTGTCATTTCCCCTTTTTAATTTCATGAATACTAACATATCTGAAAATTTAAAAACATATAATGAAAGCATTTTGAATGAACAAGAAAGCAGAAAATTTGTGGCTACAGCCACAAATGTTTCTCTGAAAGATAAATGCAACAAAGTCACATATTCTACCAAATTATAGAAAATCAGTACATAGGCCTCAAATTGTTCCCTCATTGCCAAGCAATGATATAAACATGCCTTTTTGTTTTGTTCTTTTTTTTTTGGTTTCTTTGTTTTCAAGACAGGATTTCTCTGTGTAGCCCTGGTTGTTCTGGAACTTGTTCTGTAGACCAGGCTGGCCTCGAATTCATACTGACCCACCTGTCTCTGCCTCCTGAGTATTGGGAATAAAGGTGTGCTTCATCACACTCAGCAAATACACCCTCTCAATTTGTGAATTCTATAAGGTTTTTGAGAAGGAAATATGCATGATGCCTACTGGTTTGGGCTTTTATTCAAAAGAAAAAGTCAAGTTCTTTCCCTCGCCTCACTTGTACCAAATATTTCAAAATATCCAAGTGGTACGTGAAAAGAACCATGAGAAGCGATCTATTTTCAGGTCATTGTAATGTTGACTTTAGTAGAAATTCCCATCAGAGTCAATAATGTGGCGTCATCACCAGGTGTATCCAACGTCAATGGTCTCATCCGACAATGCTCTAAAGGCAGGGAGAAAGTACCAGGTCGGTTCTTGTTCTTTTCCTTAACCACCAGGGCTCACAGAGTTCTAAGAACTGTGGTATCATTTATAAAATGTACAAGTTCATGAGCTCAAGACACTTAGCCTGTGGAGAAAGAAGCAGATAGGCGATCAATGAATCATCATGGAACATTGTCAGAACATGGAACATTATCTTCCCCAATTCTTGTGCTGATTGTCTCTTCCAAAGGAGTAAGAGGTTAGGGGGGGTGAAGTCTCCATCATTCTTACAAAGGAGGCCTAAAAGATCAAAGGTCATATGTCACTGAGTGGGAAAGTTGACTATCAATGAAGAAGTGGACCCTTAGTAACCCTGGAGTCTTCTGACGCCTTAATTTTGAGCTTTCAACTTCAGGACTGTAAGAACCAAATTTCCATGTTTTATAAGTCCTCTGGTCTACGACATTTTGTTATAGTAGTCCCAATAGACTAAGGCAACACATGAAGCCTCAGAAAAAAGGAAAAAGAGAGAGAGAGAGGCAACAACATTGGAACTGGATCCGTGAACAGAAGGAGGCAGAACAGTAGATATGGTGGCATCACAGTCAAGCAAATGGACGCATTGTGTGGTCAGTATCAAGACAAGAGTGCGCATGTGCAGGAGGAGAAGTAATTTGACTGGCAGAAGAGAAGGAGCAATGAGGGGAGAGAAGCCGCCTTTCAACTGGTAGAAAAAAGAAACCGTGAGCAAGACGACCACGTCCTCAGCAGTGCGAAGTCGTGTTACAGAATGGTGGCTTCGCTGATTGCCCTTTTCTTAAGTTACCTGCAGTGAACTGACAAGATAAGGGGTTTTTTTTCCAAGCACATTTAAGAAATTCTGAACTTATTATCCATATCATTTCTGTGTCTAATACTCTAATATCTAGTGAGTGAGGTATTGTAATAACGGCAGATCCCCACGCTTAACTGACCTTGCTGCGCAGGCTGTCGTGAAGCGTGAGTGTAGCATGTGCGGTGCTGGAAACAACCGAGGGGAACGGAAGCTCAGAATCCCTAAAGGGTGAGGAGAGTCTTCGGAAACTTTGAATTTCAGAAACTCCATTTTGGCAAAGCTAAAGGGGGAATTGGAAGACTGAGTTGGGAGGTGAAAGTTTAGGAAAGTCCATGTGAATGGCCCAGAAAGTCTGAATTTGTTCATTTCTAGAGCCACAGGACTAAAGGGTTGATTATAGGAGAGTGGCGAGTTGGATGGGGATGCAAATGATGAAGTAATGAAGACATCAAAAATGGCAGCATTGAGGTACCGAGAGGAGCTGAAGGTAAAGGGGCCAATGTGGTCCCTTGGCAAGGCCGTCACGCCACCACACAGAGTATGGTGTAGAAGCTGACATTTACCTGGAAAAAATTCTGGAAACCATTCAAT